TTACATTCTCAAGTCGAACAGCCTGGTTAGGGCCATTCCTTTTCATTCCCAAGTCGAACAGCCTGGTTAGGGCCATTCCTTTCCATTCTCAAGTCGAACAGCCTGGTTAGGGCCATTCTTTTCCATTCTGAATGTTAGTGCCCGAGGGGGTGGGCCTCGAGGTTTTGGATCCCATTTCTGTCTTGGAGGTTAGAAGGTGGTCATCTCATCTCAGTTTTTAGTGTGCTGTTCTCTTTCTTCCATTTCTCACAGTAATGTACTACCCATGCATACATCCGACTTAGCGTCTAGTACTCGAGTTGGAGCTCGCGACCCCAAGCAGCACTAGCCCACCCGGTCGTTCAGCCATAGCAAAAGACAGGGGCGCCCCTTCTATTTTCACTCTTTCTGATCACTCAGATTTCGACTATTCTCAGACTCATTCATGACTCAGCTGGATTAAGTTCCTAGGAAAGGAGTGTTCTTCACGCCCCTTAACCCATAGGTTCCCTAACCTCTCTTGTACTTGACCAACATTCAATGTCTTGCTTTGCTCGTCAATCCGTACTCAAAATTTCTTTCCTAAAAAAACACAATCCTCATTCCATCCAAATTTCACAATACACCCTTCCCAACTGGTCTCATCCCATTCCCATGTCCTTGTCTTGTGTACTCACTTTCGAAGGTAGCTCATCCAAAAGTAGCCTCAATATGCTATCTTCTAACTTATCACGACAAAGTCTTAGCTGACCCTTCCATCACTCATCCTTTGCAAGCTTACTCATACTATACACGTCCTGCTTCAATGTTTTGCAATAAAAAGACAAGATTCTTGCCCAACACCCACTCAACATCTAATGCCTATTGCTGTCCCGTGCCTCAACTTGCTCGTTTCCTTGTCCACCCCGTTCCTCAACCGGCTTTCTAACCCCCAGGCCGAAGGTCTCGATTTCTCTCCTTATCCTTGCAATTTTCTGTAGTTCTGCCTCGTTGAAAAAATCCAACGGCGTGGCTACCACCCCTGCCCTTGCTAGTTCCCGGGTTTTGATAATCCACTCATGCTTGACTACGCCGAGTCATTGCTCAAACCAATGGCTGGGCGTTGGCCCAAACTCATCCTCCCATCTGAAGGCTTCTTCGCGCGGCTGGTGCATCGAAGGCCACCTTTCCTCGCTAGGCCTCGAGATTTCATCCCTTTCATCTCCGTTGCTAATTTCTATGATTTCTTGCACATCTTCCTCCTCGTCCTCCTTGCCCTCCGTCTGTATGGGGCTATACCCTCCCGTTAGGTTCTTTGGATCGTAGGTGTAAGGAATCTATGTCCTTGTCCCATACCCCTCGCAACTGCCGTGGCCTCTTCGTCCTTCAAGCGGACTTTCTCTTCTTTCCTCCCCATCCTCACGCTCGTCGTACATGTCCTGTCCCCACTCGCTTTCCCTGTGCCAAGTCTCACGTCGCTCGCCCCTGTTGGCCCCTCTCTCGTCAAAGGCTTGAGCCTTATCTCCCAGATCTGCATTTCCTCTTCTTTCACATCTGCCTTTTCCTTCTCGCCCTCACTGTCAGATGCGATTTCTATACCTTCTCTCTTCCGGAGGGGTGAGGGTTTCCTACACAAGCATTTCCTTCCACCCCTGCCTACCACTGGCCCGCCCATGAGCCCTATGTACAACTTTCTCTTCGCTGTCCTTCTCCCTTGGCTTTGTCTTGCTTCTTCCCCTTCGGTAGGCCTGTTGATTGCCCCGCTGTCGTTCTCGTTGCCGAATTCCATTTTTGCTTTTTCTCGTTTTTTCTTCTAAGTCCTGTATAACAAAACAACACCCGCAATGCCCCTCATACACACGTTCCCCCAGTCCGGGAGACAGTTCCCCTTTCCCAGAATGTTCACAGTATCCTTCGCATCAACCCCTTTCATACAAATTATACATTTCCCTCTCTTATGCAAATGCGCCGTTTGTGAAGACCCAATTATTTCCCCGTCATAAAATATGATACAATGCCCCAACAACCCTTCCCGTCGTCGCACAAGCCAGTTATCGCAAGATCCCAAATCATGCTGCCTTTCAATCCTCAGTCAGTCCAAGCCATTACCCCAGTCCCCCAAAAATGACAGTCCCACAGACGTGGTTAGAGACATAGTGTGGGCAAGGCTGTGGTCAGTCCTCAGCTTGTGGCCCCTCAGTTTTCCCTATCTTCGGCCTCCTGAAGCCATTGTTCCACTAGGTCCCGACTTAGAAACTTGACCAATCGTTGCCCTGGGGAGGGCCCTTTCAATCTAGTTCCATCCAAATCTTCCAGCTTGAAGGTGTTCAGTCCCACCTGCTTGGCGACCCGGTAGGGGCCTCTGAACCTCCTCCCCAACTGTCCCGACCAAGTACTTTCTAGTACCGAGTTCCTTAGCAATATCATCTCTCCCACTTGAAGTGGCTCCTTTCTGACATTCTTAACCTGGTCCCACCTTGCTTTGTCCCTCATTCTGTTGTTTAGTACCCGGCTGGCGATATCCTCCATGACTTCTCCGTTCTTAAGGACCTGGTGGCACCTTGCCTCGATTAACTTTTCCGTGGTCATTTGCGGTTCATCATCTAACCTATTCCAGGTAGGTACCAACGCTTCCACAGGAAAGTCGATCTCTCTTCCGTACCAAAGTTCTGTCGGGATACACCCTGTTGTCCTCTTAGGGGTCATATTCTCTGCAAAAACAGCCTGCTTAAGATACCTAGGCCAGTTCCCTGGATGGTCCGCTGCGAGCTTCACAATCGTGTTCTTCAAGGTTCGGTGCCCTCTTTCCACAGGTGCGTTGGCCTCTGGGTGATACGGCTCGATGAGTTTGATCGGCACGCAGAGTCTCTTAAGCATCCCCAATACTTCTTGGTTCACGAACTCCGTCCCATTGTCTGCTATAAACCTCCTGACGAAAGGATGCCTCAAGTAGAAGTCTTATATCCAGTCCGCCACACTCCTCCCTGTCTTTTTCTTGAGAGCGACCGCCTCCACGAACCCACTCAAGTTGTCTCGCGAATCCAGGATATACCTGTACCCATCCGTTGATACAGGGATGACCGCAAGGTCGAGGTGAACCAGATGTCCCGGCCCTAGCACCCGCGTTGGTCTAAGCGGCTCAAAGACCCGCGCCGAACTTCGTTCCTGACAGATAAGGCAAGTCTGGCAGTATATGGCGACCATGCCTGCCAAGCCTGGCCAATAATAGAGTGGCGTTATCTTTGCAAGCGTTCCTTTAGATGACCGATGACCTCCAGCTAACCAGTCGTGCATTGCCTGGACAACGTCTAATTGCCTAGATCTTCCGCACACAACCCGTCTAGGCATGACACCTTCCTCCCTTCGGAATAGATGGTCGCCCCTTAGGACGTACCTTTCTGCCTCCTCTCTTGCTTTAACACCGACTTCCGTAGGTTGTTTGTTTCCTACCGACAAGAACCCGATCTCCCGAAAGAGCCCTTCGTATAACTGAGCATAGAAAAACTTATCCCCTTCCTGACCCCCATCCTTTCCTTCCTGCATCTGGTTTACCACCCATTGCAACTTTTTCCTCTCCCAAGATTCCACTAAGCTCATCACGGCTTCCCGGTCTCCCTCAACCGTCATTGCTATTAGTTCCTCTTTCGGTCCTACTATCGCTCCCCATGAGTCCTTCTCCTCCCTGCGTCCTCGAGTGGTGATTAGTCCTTCTCTAAATTCTGCTACTACAACAGGTGCCCCCTTCTCCAAAGTTTGGATCAATAGTTCTCCTGATGCGCATTCTTCGCTCATCATTTCGTTATCCACCGCAAGAGTTCCTCCTTCGTATTTGAGGAATGCGTCTATGGGCTCCGCACCCTCCACCCCTTCGGGAGTGATGCACACCCGGCTCAGCCCATCAGCCTTGTTCCTAATTCCCGCAATCCGTTCGATTTTGTAATCGAACTGCCAGATAAATCCTACCCATCTCCCCACCGTCGGATCTATAGGCCTGTAATTCTTTAAGGCCCCTGCAACATTCGTCGGATCGATCCTAAGGAAGAACCGTCTCCCAAATAGGTAGGCTTGAAAAGTCTTAAGACGATGCAAGATGGCTAGGACCTCCTTCTTGAACTGTGAGTACCGCCGCTCTGCGGAGTTCAGGGTTCTACTTTCGAACCTAATTCATCGCTCTTTTCCTCCCGCATTCCTTTGAATCAATACACCTCCTACGACCAAAGGTCCTCCATCCGTCTCTAGGATGAAGGGTCGTCCTACTTCGTCATTAAAACAAGGTGCGGACAAGGCGACTGTCTCAGATGTCAATATGTCCTTAAGTTTTTGGACGGCTCCCTCTCGCTCCTCCGTCTAGTCCATGGTTCCTTCTTCTCTGATCATAGCCCGGATAGGCTCAGCAATCTTGACAAACTTCTTAATGAAGATCCTCCAAAAACCGACCACGCCTAGGAATGCCCTTACCTCCGTTGTCGTGCGCAGTGGCATCGGCCATTGTGATATCTTGTCGGTCTTTGCCGGATCTGGCTTCGTGCCGTAAGCACCGCAGCGAAATCCTAGTATAGTTACCTCCGGTACTGCTATGATACTCTTTGGTCCACTAGCCGTAATGTTGTATACTATGAACCGGCGGAGTAAGTCCTTGATGTCCTGCAGGTGGTCCCACACAAAACTTCGAATTCCTGGCTGGACTTCCGTCTCGTCCTTCTTCTGTGCGCCTTTGATCGGATTGTCATCGATGTAAGGCTCACACTTCTGTGGGAACATGTCCCCGGCCACGGCGAGCATTCTGCGTTGCGCTTCGGCCACCGCGTTTGTGAATCCCATAGGGGTCACTTGCATCTGTAACTGGCCTACGGGGGTGTGCATAGCGGTGTACGACCTGTCCCGAACATCCAATAGAAGCTGGTCGAACCTTGAGTACAGTTCTATCAGGGAGTGAATGCTCCGACCGGCGTGCGATTCTGCTAATAGGTCAGCCTGAGGTAGCGAGCCAGCATCTAGGATGGTTACCGCATTCAACTTCTGTAGATCCTGAATCCACCTTAGTGTCTTGTTAGGCTTTCGAAAGACGAACCACCGGTTTGCGTACGGTGACGCCGTAGGCTCTGCAACGAAGGAATCCATCTTTTCTCGAAGGAGGTCTGTCACTTCCCCTGCTATCCCAAATTCATAGGACGGGCCCTTGTCATTCCGGCACTCATGTTCTACCGTGTGGATTCTGACAGGAGGGATCCACTTCGCATCCAGTCGTCCCTTTTGGTGATCACTAAAGGCAAATGCCAGGTGAAACTCCTGGCAAATCCTTTTGATCAGGCGGGTTTCCTCTTCCGTTAGGAAACCTTCTACCCCTATCTTCATTGTGTCAGCCACCTCATCTGGTATCCAATGTCCTTCCGTCGCTCTACTCTCTCGGATCACTCGAAGGACCTCCTCCTCCTTCTCCATAGCCTCTTCCTTTGATATCTCTAGTAGGATCGAGACCGGTTTTGCTTTCTTCCCTACCGGCTTGTACTTTCGAACACTTCCTTCCGGGATCTTTCTCCTCAAAAATGAACGGTCGGAACTGCCATCGTCGCCTCTACGACTCGTGGTTGGACACTAACTAGTTTCCCATTCAGACAATATCCCTTTTGCACTTCCCCTTCGAACTTGGCCAAGGCCGTTGAGTCTACTCCTACCTTGTGGTATCTGAGGGCCTTGATGAGTTGTAACAGATCGGGGATCTCGAGCGCGACTTCTGGCACGTCCATGCGTACTTCTTTCCACTTGGGCAGGCTAGCACCAAGTTCGATTTCTGACTCCTTTTATGCTACTATAACACCTAGGACTTCGTCGTCCTGTCTCCTCTTCTTCTGGGGCAGGCCCATCTTGATCCACTCCTACTTAATGAATGCTTCCTCAATCATGATTTCTACCATTTCTCTCATACCTTCCATCCGTGCGAAGGCCCCTTTTCGCGTGCTATCCTCGAACGACGGCGACCATGTTGCCAATTTCCCCTTTGGGGCCCTTTGGGGGGTCTCCTCCCGTTCCAAGGAGTCAGAGGAGCTCTCCCCGGCCGATCACTGAGTCCTCTATGTCTACCATGTATGAGCCATCGTGCAAGTGCATGCCTATCATTTCTACGTTTGCGCACCATAGTCTCCCGAGGATTATGTCGTGGTCTATTTCCTCCATTACGGTCATCCGCTGAAACGACCACATCGACTCCCTGACTCCGGCCTTTACATCGCACTTCGTGACGTACCCAGCGAACGGGATTTGCCCGCGAGCTCCCCGGATGCTCCCTGTTACTTCCTTGTTCGCCGTACAACCCGTGATCGTTGCGAAATCTCTTCTTATGAGAGTGATTTCTGCTCCCCCGTCTACTAAAGCGTCGGTATGATGAGTCCCGATCTGGATTTTTAGCTTTCCTACGGGCAGTGCATGAAAGCTAAGCTTTGTCCCGGGTGGTGCCCTCATGACCTCGCCGCCCTCTCGGTCGGGCAAGCTCAAACGGATGTCTGCAAAGGCTTTCACGAGACTCTCCAAGTCCCCTCGATTCCTTTGAAGGTTAGCCACTTCTTGCAGAGCTTCCTCCTCCCTTTCCTCTTCTGGTAATTCGGGGTCGTCGCCTATTTCTACTCGCCGCCGAGTCAACAGTTGTCTAAGCCCTTTGAGTAACCTAGGGCTAGCTTGCAGAATGGTCTGAAATGACACCGACACCATGGTTCCTAGTAACTTGCTAAGGGTGTTGTCGATCTCAGGCGAGGTTAAGATCGGGATTTGATACCGAAACTTCTTCTTAGCGGTGGTAACCTTGTCCGCAGGCTCCTCTTCCCTAGGCTTCCCATAAACTTTCTCTGGTTCCTCGGCCTCAGGCTCTGCCTGGGATTCGAAGCTCCCGGCAACCTCCTCCGTAACGGTGTCACAGATAATCCTTCTCCCAGCCGTCCCTAGCCGAGTGGTTGCGTTCACCCTATCACGTCCGTCGTTTTTCAAAATAAAGTTGACCTGCGGCCCGCGGCCCCGCAGCTGATCCCAAATGATATCGACCACCGGCTCAGCTTCTACGACCGCTATCTCTAACCCATTGAGCATGGTAATGGCTCGTTGGATCCCCCTTGGCGAGTTCCAATTCACCCGCTCTCCCTGGGGTCCGAATATCTCTCTCTTTAATGATCTGATAAATCTCCTTTTTATCGTGGTAAAACTTTGGACACGCAATCACATAATGTCCCATCGCGGTACAGTACTTGCATTGTTCGTTAGCAGGATCTCTCCGTCCGAATCCCCGATTGGCTACACCCGGCGGAACCAAAGCTTCCTAGGGGGGGAGGGGGGGGAGGGATACTTGCGCCTGCATAACCAGCAGCGCGCCCTCCATCCTTTCAATTTTATTGTCGACTCCGTGCACGCGCTCATGTAGACTTTCAATCCCATTTTTTACCTCTGTTCTACCGGTCAGATCTATGACCTCCCCTTCTTTAAGCAAGGCCAATGTCTCAGTCACTACCGTCTTTTCGGCCAGGTCCGTTATCGTACTGAAATCAATGTCCCTAGTGTTTACGAATTTGCTCGTCTGTTGGTAAGCCAACAGGATCTTGTCCTTGTCGAACTCGGAGAACTGCCTGCGGAAGTACTTACTCATTATTGGGTCCGTAACCCCGGGGATCCTTACTGCTACCAAAATAAACTCCCGTAGGAAGTCATTGTACGTTGCGAAGTTCTTCCTCTGGACCGCTGCTAAATAGGCCTCCGTCGCCATCTTCTCTGCTGCCCGATATTTTCTCATCATCACATCCCGGGTTTCTTTCCAAGACCGGCTCGCGGCCACAGTGGCCATTATGTCCCTCCCTAGGCTTAAAGACACATGCTTCCCCAGGTGGTCCATATTTTCTTCTTCGGTCCATTTCAACAGCGCGACCAGATTCTCCTAATCTATCAGGAATTCCGTGATGTTCGCTCCATCAAATGTCAACTTTTTCTTAACGTCTGCTAGGTAGCCTTGATTTTTGTTCAGTACTCGCGCGAGGGACGATACTATCTTCCCGAGGCCGCCCTCGGAGCTGCTGGTCTCGCCTGCCATACTGATATCCGGACCTTCCTTGCCGGCCTTCTGTCCCTCCTTGGTCTTCGCAGTTCCTTCCGGGTCGAACCATCCCAACACTCTTTCTCTAAGGCTCCAGAGTCTTTCGCACCCTCGTGTTACTGTTGGCGTGGTCGGCAGGCGGCTAGCCCTACTATCTATGACTGGCGGGGTCGTAGTCTTTTCCGCTTCCATCCCCGGAGAGTTCTCTCTCTCTTTCCTTCTTTTGCTCGGCGTTCCCCCACGGTCACTACCTTTATCCCCTTGTCCGGCCCCACCTCGGCTGGTTTTCCGTTCGTCCCGGGGTTCCTCCTGCAGAGGGCCTTCCACGTTCCCAGTCATCATTTCCTCGATCAATCTTGCCTTGTACTGCGCGGTCCTCTTTTTTATTTCTGCTAGTTTGCGCCTTGCATCCGTGACCCTTACTTTCTTAGACATGGCTCCCTCTGAATTTCGGGAGCTTGCCCTATCCTTATTTCTGCCCTCCTTGTTTTCCTGAGTCTTTTGCCTGCTTTCCCTGGCTTTCCCCGAGCTTTCCCCTGAGAAGATTTCCTTCCGGTTCCCTTTGGTACCGTCCTTATTTATCGATTCTCTATCTTTCTGCCCTTCTTCGCTCTGCACGGCACTGCCTCCTAAGCCCAGTTCCCCTTCGCTCTTACCGTTATCCGTCTCATCCTCCGTTGCCATTTTGCCTAGTTCTGCATAAGCCAAAGAATTCCCAGGACATACGCAACGCGAAGTATTTTAGGTCGTCTAGGTTCCCAGCTTCGTAGGCTTATCTTTATTTGGGAAATAGCCTTTTCCCTATCTTCGTTTCCGGATTGGTTCCTCAAAAAGGAGCCACGGCTGGCCCTGCTGCCTTGTCGAGCTAAGGGCGTGACTTAGTTTCCTTTATCACAGGTTCGTTTAGAGCGTCCTTGCCTTGTCGGGCCGGTACGTAGGAGCCCGGGTTAGGCATCCTGCTAGGGAAAGTTTTCCCGAGGAGTATTTCCCTTTCCGACCTTCAGGGTCACGACAACCATTAAGTGTCTACCTCCTTCTTTGTTTTCTAGCAGGTTTTAATCATCCGGGTCCGAGGCCCCTTTCTTATTTCCATCGGGGAACTTCTGTACGTAGCGGACTGCCCTATTGGCCCGCCTGCGGGTGCTAGTCCCGTTCTCGCCCTCGCGTCCCTTCCAGTTCGGTAGGCTCCTCGAATAGTTCAGCCACCCCTGCTAAATAACTCTCTCCTATCTTGATTTCCCTTTCGATTATGCGTTCGCATCCCGCCCAGTCTAGTGGTGGCGCCCTAAACATCAGGATGTAGATGACTTCCAGTAACTCGTGGACCCTGTTTCCCCAGAACGGCCCATGCTCCACCGCGACATCGTAGAACATCCCAATGGTAGGGAAGGGGAAGTGGTCTACCCAGACTATCGCCGAGTCTGCCAGCTATTGCGCCCTCGCGAGGCTCCCGAAGACGAGGTTTATCATAAAACGGGGAACTCGGCACCTCAGCGGTGTGGTTGGTGCCCTGAATTCCCTTCAACCTCCCATTTCCACCCGGGCAACTAAGTCCACGTTTCTACCCCCGACTGATTGTCCTACCCGTGTCAACGCCCGGGCTGCCCTCCGAAAGACGGGAGCCATCTCGTGGCCTTGCGCTATTCCCACCCCTAATGAGTGTCAGCCAATCTCGGGCAGATACATGGTCCCGGTAACTTCCAAACTGGAAAATAAGTCATCCCCAAGTCCCCGGTTGATTCTCATTCCCATCCACCGACATTCTACCAACATGAAGGCGGTGTCTCTCCCCAAAGTTACGGTCCACCATTCCACATCGAATCCCCGATAGTTAGAACTCGATGGGAGGGATACTTCCCATCGTTCGCCGTTATTCCAGGACGGCCCGGGGTACCGGGGCTGGCGTTCCATCCCCACACGTCTTGCTGCCATTGTTGCCTTGGTGATTCCCTGCATAGTTCACATAGAAAGCGTAACAGCCAACCCTCAGTAAATGTCCACCTACTGCTCCGTTACCTTTTATATCCTCATTCTCCCTTTCTAGTCCAACTATCCTTTCATATCCCTAGGAGCCGCAACCTCCTCTGGCTGCTAGTACAACCGGTAAAAGTCGTCTATGTAGGTCGAGCCCCGGCCTACTTCCCGCCCGATGGGCCTCATCACTTACTTTTGGAACTCCTGGTCGGGTATTTATTGCAGCTTGTAGTATACAAAGTACTTCCTACCTCTGTTCGTCTTCGAAAGGCCCCATCTTTAGGAAGGTCCGGTAGTATTCCCGATACATTAATGTTCCGTCGAAATTTAGCCTAGTTATGACAGCTACCGCCTGCTCCACTCGCTCTACGCCTCCCATCTGTCGTAGCAGGAAGGGTGGTAGACTCATCCGTATGATCTCATTGGGCAACTCAAAGATTCCTGCCGCAGGAACTCTTACTTCGGCCGTCACGTCGTCTCGTTCTGGGACTGCGAATTCAAACCTCTCTCGCCAAGTTATTTGCCATGTTCCTTCGAACATTCGTACGGGGTCATTCCCGGAAGCCAAGGCAATCCCAAAGGTCCGCCATCCCTCTTCCGACAGGTGTAAGGATCCTGTCGCATGTACGCGCCCCGGAGGTCAAAATCTATGCCCCCGAACTCTCCTCTCGCACGCCATTCCATCTCTACTACTAGGTACACCGTGTCCTCCACCAACTTTACCCCCACCCAGTCCATTACCGGGTTGCTTACCACATTTCTTGTCGGCAGGCTTATTTCGACCATGCCTTCAGATGTTCTTGGTGGCAGGATCCCGCAAGGTCTATCCTCCGAGAATGTCATTCGCCGGGCCATCTTGCAATGTCTCATTTCCAGCTTCCTTAGTCCGATTGCTGCACCCACCGAGATTCCATGCCTTTCGTGTTTTAGTCTTTCAGCACTCCCTACTTATCGTACACTGGTTCTTGCCGCTATTCCCGCCCCATATACGTACAATTTCACCCTCCTTTTCCGGTTGTTGCTACTTCCCCCTTGTTTCGACCCTCACGCTCTTCATGCTGACTAGTGTACACGCCCCTCTCCTATGTTACACCTTAATTCACAAGCACCTTCCATACTCCGGCCTTCCCTCGGCATTCGATCCCTCGGCCCCATTTAGTCGAACCATAGTACCTCAAACAGTTTAAAGACATCGTCTACGTAGGAGGGCGCGGACGCCGCCTCCCGACTAACTATGGTGTCCCAAGACTCCGCCTCTACCTCTAGGCGGTCATACTTGCCTATCTTTAGGACGATGATGACTTCCTCAGCTTTATCTCCATAGAAGGGTCCATATTTCAATGAGATCCTATAGAACTCCTCAGTCGGCCAGACACACTCTATATGCACCTTTCTCATGGAATCGGCTACTTCTAAAATGTGCTAAAACCCCCCAAACCACTCGACTATGAATCCGGCACCCAAGCCGTTGTCCGTAGGCTTGGAGGCTTAAGTTCCTTCCATCCTCCCATCACAACTTTGCTACTAACTTCGTCTCATCCCTCGTTGGCGAAGCGCTTGCCTTCCTTTCGGGTTCGGGCTTCTGCGTCCCCTAGAAGCCACATCGGATCCTGTCCCATTGCTAGCATAGTGCAAAATAGGTGTCACCCGTCCTCGGAAAACACAATTGTTTCGACTGACTCTACTTTGCCTTCTGCTATATCGTCCCAACCTTCCTCTTCCCTTATCGGGTTCCAAATCTGCTCTACCCATACATACGACAAGTCCCCCTCCACTCGTTTTCTGTCGGTATAGGCATCTCTATTCCTCCTCTGAGTCGCCGTGGTTCCCAACCTTTGAAGGTGTATTCCATCATCCTTTCTTCTCTAGTCATTCGTCCCCTTCCTGCACAATACCAGGTCACCCGTCCTTTCTAAGTTAAGTTACCCCACCCCTCTTAGAAGTCTCAGTCCTCCATCTCATCATCTTCGTCTTCATCACTGAAGTCGTCCTCCTCGTTGTATAACAACTCCCTTACCCCATCCAGAAACGTCCCCCCTATTGCCACATTCCTATAGACTATCCCCCAATGCACAGGGCTAGAGACAAATATATTGTCTATGCTAAGGCAGTTTAGTATCTCGGTCAGCTCGTCCGCCCAGTTCCCCTCGAACGGCCCCATCTCTACCGATAATCGAAAAAAATCTTGCCTAGCGCATTGATATAGCCCGAGGTTCGTCATGGACTGGTATATCCGTACTAGCCTGCTCCGAGTTCCGAAAACCGCATCCACTAGGAAGGGAGGCAGCACACATCGCATGGTTCTGACGGGTCGCCCCATGCTTCCTCCATCCCCAAGTTCCACCCGTACGTCTATCATTTCCATTTTCATTTCCCTCCGCTGACATGCAACCCAAACAACCTCTGCTTCTGGCTTTCTAAACAACTCGTCCGGCGTATTCCCGAGTGTCAACTCTATGACCATAACATTCTCCCCACCTTGCGATAAGTAGACCCACCCTCGGGCTTCCACTGTCCCTAAAGATTTTCAAATCCATTAAACTTGGCGACAACCTCGTCAAGATGACATTAGTCCAGACTGTTGCTATCCAAAGGAACGCGTCCTCCCCTTCCAGCATTGCCGTTTGATACGCTGGTTCAAGGTTCGTCCACGTCCCATCTTCCGGGAGGACGACCGATACCCCATCCTTTACATCTACTGACATTTCCGGGCCGCTTTTATAGATAGGGGAAGGCAACCATCGTGCCATCCTGTTTTCAGCACCCGACCCCTGTTTTCATAAAAAGAGCACCAACCGGTCCTTTTGGTCACGTCAACCCTTGCCCTAGATGAGGATTATTTCAGACCCCTCATCAAGGTCTCCCCAATTTACCTCCCTATTCCTAAGTACCTTCTTCCCATAGTATCCTCGGTCGGCCATCCATTTCCCCACATTTTCTCTTGGTTTCATTTCAACTGACCTTTATCCTCCTTCCTTCCGATCATCTCTCACTCGTGTGGACTCAGATGGGGGGGGGGGGATAGACTTAGAAATATACCCGTCCAACAATCCAAGCTCAATCAATTTTTACGGAGGGGGAACACATAAAAAACAAATTCAGGCAATCTCACATACGGGCCGGACATCTCCTCACCGGTCATCCCCAATATGGTCTCTCCACTGCTACTATCGGTAGAGTTTTATCCCATACCTCGAGCGCAGCTCAACCGTCGCGAGCGAGATACCCAGGCTCCGGCAAGGCGTTAGCGCTTTCCTTGTACCCAGAATACCCCATCCCGTTTTGCCGCTCAGGCATAAACGGAGCCTCGGAGACGATTAGTAACTTCTCGTAGCATGGTTTGGGGAAGGCTGATTCTTATCGGACCGATGGAAGTGAATGCCCGGACGGCTGACTTTTGTCCCTGTATTTAGGCACACGGGGTAACCCTCGGTGTCGGTATGGATGTGCAAGCATGCAGTGGTACTCCCCCCGCCAGTCTACAGGCTAAGCCCCGCCTGAGGAGATTTCGCACCCCGTCCGGCAGATCATTGAGCAAAAGTTCATCACCGCTCGAACGGAAATGCTACTAATCAACCGACGTAACAAACTCCCGTCCGACAGCTCGGTGGTCTGACCTCCACACACGAACACACGGCAGCCTACAAAAAGAGAGCGACGTTTCGCAACCCGCACCGGTTGGTGCAAACCAATGCTTTCCTTCCGAAAGGCAGGACGCTCGAATCCCATCATGTAAACACAAGTCCCAAGTGGG